TGAAGACGGTTCGGAGCTTTGTTCACCACTTAATTGTCCAAGTAACACAAAATGAGAAAATAAAAGCTAAACATGCTAATCAATTTGGATTGGGGATGGATTAACACTAATTGATGCTCTAAATTGAAAGAAACAATAAACGAGAGAATAAAGTAATTAACACTACCGGAGTCTCTAAGCCATCATCATCAAACGAACTCAATGACGAACAATTTGCAAGTTCTAAGCACTAGGTCACTAATCCTAACCTTCTAACCTAAGTGATTAAGCTTTAAATAAAGTCTTAACCCTTAATCTAGATAGGCAAGTAATTAATCCCTACTAGAACAAGCAAGAGCAATGACCAAGTCCGAACATTCCCTCCATCATCAAGCAAATACCCAAAATCACCTTGATAAACATCATAAGTAAAAACGGGGCAAAAATCGAAGTAATGAGCTTTAAAAGTAAATACCCAATATTCTATTGCGTGCTAGATGAAAATCGGAGTCAAAAGCTCGGAACTTGAACAAAATAAAAGTCGCCGGAAAATTCGCCGGAAAATGATATCATAGAGCTCCCAAGAGAGAGAAGAGAGAAAACTAAAAGGAAAATAGCTATTCCCAAAGTGGGAAAAGTGACAAATGAAATCTAGGTGTTCCAAATACAAAGGACCAAAATGTATTTATACTAAGGAGCAAAAACACACACTAACACACACATTAAAAAAAAAAACTCGCGAGCAAAGTCGAACTCGCGAGTAAAATCTTGAATTTCGCAGCTGAATTTCGCTGGCACCACAGAACTCGCGATGCATCGGGGTTTCGAGGGCTCGAATGTTGGAACTCGCGGGCTGGACGTGCAAAGAGAGAACTCGCGAGCTAGAGAAATTTCGAGGGCTCGAAATCAGAAACTCGCGGGCAAGGCGTGTTGTAGCTGGGACTCGCGACTGAAAAGGAATTCGAGGGCTCGAATCTCAGAAACTCGCGGGCGAATGGCAGCTCGTGAATTTTTGCCCCGGTGACTTTGGTTCGACTTCTAAAGCTTCTAATTCATCGCACGGACCTCCGATCGACTTGAAACTTCGACTCGCACTCCTCAAATCTTTTCCTCCTCGACATGAGATGCACGCAAAATGAATTAACACTCGAGACGGCGCATCACGAAATGACTATTTCTTCCTTTCGAGCCTACAAAAACACCAAAACGCACAAAAGGGATAGGAAAATGTACGAACACGACTAAAAACTAAAATCTACGAAAAACGAACAAAAAATGGACCGAGACACACAAATCAAACCTAAAACGACTCGACTCAAGCAAATAAACCACAAGAAAAACACACAAAAACATAACAAACAGCCGGACGTGTCAATTTTGTCTATAGGTACACTCTAAACGCAAGTTCTATTCGTATTATGCCTCCGAAAAAGAGACAAGCTGTACCTAAACGCAAACGGGGCACGGCTAATGAAGGGATATCGAGTGCCCCAATGGAGAATGTTACGGAGGTTAATGTTACGGAGGATGTCTTGCCGTGCCAAACCGATCCCGAAGCCATTGCCGACACCGAAAATGTGCCATTGGTAAGGAGAGAGCCTTTCCTCGTAATCGGGCACCTCGAGGACAATCTTTTTAATAAACTACGAGCCGAGAAGGTCCGACCTCCCCGATATATTGACTATGAAGTTCTCACGGACCTTAAAATTTTTAGAGGGGTCAAACGCTACTTAAAGAACCTCAACTTGTTGAAGCTTGTATCCCTTCGAGCCGACGCCTACGTGACACTTTGTTGGGAGTTCTACACAACGTTCAAACTCGAAGAGAAGGAAACTATTGTGCGGTGTCGATTGGATAGCAAGCCGGTGGAGATAGATCAAGCGTTGATGAAAGAGCTTTTCGGGTTCACCTTTGAGGGGCCGACTTCCGTGCCAAAGGAGTTTGACTTGGCGGCCGCTTGGATGGAAATTTCGGGACTCCCGTACTTGAAGTTCATCGATGGTGTTACCGGTCACATCAAAGATCCCGCCCTCGCGGTCGTGCACAAGTTCATTTGCCACAACATTTTCGGCAAGAAGGATGGACAAAAGGTGAGCACGGACCACATTTTTATCCTTTGGTGTGCGGTGCACGGCAAACCCGTGAATTTGGGCGCGTATGTTTTAAAGAAAATGGCCCAAATTGTCAAAGTCAAGCGCTTCAAGCCGGTATTCGGCCATATGATTACGATCTTCGGTGAGTATTTTGGAGCCACATATGGTGGGGAATTCATGAAAAAACGGTCGATCACGTCACGTGAGTTAGTCCAAGCGGATCTCGCCATTAGCCGCTACGAGGTCAAACCACATCATACCCGAAAATGTGTTGAAGCTTATATCGAACGAGTGAAAGTCTACAAAAAGGGCAAAGCCGCTACAAGCGCCGAACGCATTGATCGAGAAGTGCTCCTCCCCTCCGAACCTCAACAAGGAACCGAGCCACAAGAGCCGAACCCCGACCAACCGACCGATGTCCCCGAAGGCCAACCCAACTTCGATGAGATACACCAACCGATGGAGCAACCCGACACTTCCTCTACTCCTCAATGCCCCCAACTTCTGACCGAGCCCTCTGCGACCACCGCCTACGAGGCAAACCCGTGGACCGGGATAGCCACACAATTGGCGAGCCTTGACCTCCGTATGATGGGTCGTTTGGATGGGATGTGGAAGCATATGCGCGCAATGGACAACCGTTTAGACGGGATGAGCTCCGAGATTACCACCATTCGAGGCGATGTGCACACGATGAAGGACCACATTGTATCGTTGGACGCACGCCTCCAACAATACGAGCAAGAGAGGGCCGTCGGGCCAAGTTCTTCCATTCCACCGGACAAGACGCCAATGGATACACAGTGATTATTCACCGTGTGGAGTACGCACTTCTTTTTCTTTATTTTTCTTTTTCTCTTTGTTTTCTTTTTATTTGTCTATGTGTTTTGTTTATTTTCTTTCCTAGCTATGTGTTTTAGTTGCTTTTCCTTTCTTTATTTTTGTTATTGTCCTATGTTTGAACTTGCACAATGATTTGTTCTTTCCGTATACTTGTTGGTTAAGCAATGAGGTCATTGCTTTGTTTTAAGTGTGGGGGAGGATTTTTAGTGATTGTGCATGTTTAGACGTTTGTTGTGTCTTGGACCGGTTTTGTTTATGTTTTTTTTGTGTGTTTTTTGTGTCACTTCCCCGTCATGATGCTCAATATGCGTTTTTGGTGCCAAATTTTTTGGCATATAAATATTTAGCATATAAATCTTTCAAATTAAATTATGATATTTTGCAACTAAAAGATATTTCTCACTTTTTTATTAAAAAAAAAAATAAAAAATTAACAACTTATTCTTACTATTATTGACGAAATATCTTTTGAAATTAAGAGAGATTTATGTTTTTCTTTCATCCATGATACTAACATGCAATTAGGACATTTTTTAAAATTTAAAAAAAAAAATCTTTGAAATCTCCGACCCGTACCGAACCGACCCATTAGAACCGAACTTTTCGAATTGAACCGAAGCGAATCGAAGTTCGATTCGGTTCGGAACAGAGATTTATTGGAACCGATTCGATTTCGTAGATCCAATTTTTGGAATCTCCGAGTTCGGTTCGGTTTCAGAGATTTCTGGATCTCCGTACAGAACCGAACCGTGCTCAACCCTAATAACAGCAAGTTTAAGTCGTTTGGTTTAAAATGAAAAAGACCATGATATGGCAAGGGCCCGATTAGTGCTGTAAACGAATCGAACCGAACCAAGCTTAGACTGTTCGAGCTCGTGTTCGTTTACGTTCGAACAGTGTTCGTCTTCGTTCGTTTATTTTTCGAACAAAAAATTGTGTTCGAGCTCGTTCGTTTAATTGTTCGTCAAAGTTCGAGTTCGACAATTTAATACATAAATTATTTAAATATGTTTGATTATTTCGAAATTTGTGTGTTCGAACTCAAAAATAAAAGAATGAAATAAAACATTTTTATATTTTAGAATTTTTATTAAAATATTATGTAAAAATATATAAAATAAAGTAAAATTATATCAAATTAATGTTCGCGAACATTATCGAAAACGAGCTCGTATTCGTTCGATGATTAAACGAGCCTAATTTTCTGTTCGAATTCAGTTCAATTAAAAAACGAAATAGCTTTTGTCGAACACGAACGAATTCGAACGAACTTTTGTTTGCGAACATTCGGTTCATTTACAGTTGTAGGCCCGATCACTTTTCCTTCATTTTCGTTATTCGGTATCCCAACTCTAGCGCCGGATAACATATCAATTCTCTTAAAATTTTTAGATTTTATATTTTCGTTAGATTTTTATATTTTTCAAAAAAACAACGTGAGTGATTCATTTATGTTTTAAAATTTTTTGTTTCAGATATGCGGAAATTGCGACGGGATGTAGACGAATCGATAAAATTGTGGAAAGGGCATGGGAATTTTTGAAGCTTTTCCGAAATAATTCGTGGAAGTGGGTTTTCCATTGACAAGGATTTTTTTATAGCTAATGGTGGGTTATTTGGTTCTTCTAATCATGTTTCTTGCTTGACAATTTATGATTTTGTGTTATGCTTTTGTTGTGGCTCTCACTTTCTCTGCGAGAGAGTTCTAATTTTAATGTCTATTCAGTTGCATGAATATATAGCAAGGATTTCAAATTCAATCATTTCAAAAAAGAAAGCTAATGAGAATGGTAAAATTAGCTTACTTGAGTGGACAAAAAAAGACTCCCTCCAGAATTGCTAATTAAATTTAATGTTTTTTTTTAGGGAAAACAAAATTCCTTGTGGAATTAGATTGACAAAAAATGTGGCAGGGTTGTCATAGGCGGCAGTGAGAATTTCGGCTGCTTATAATCGACATTGTTTCTCCATCAAAGCTGGATTATGTCTGTTGCTTTTCAATTGTTGGACATCCTATTCTTGTATTGGATTTTCTTTTCTTTTCCCCATTTTTAAGCCTCATTTGGTTGAGTTAGAATTATTTCCTGCTTTGTTAACTACATAGGAAATTTAGTTGAATCCACTTGGTTCTAGTTGTTTTACTTTCTTTCAAATATCAATTATAGAAGCTTGTGTTATGTCTTCTTAATCCTTTTCTCTTATTTTTTTAAAGGTGGACCATTTTTAGAATTGTGTTTGTATTCAAAAGACTCGGGTTCAAAATCCAAAAGGGAGGCGCAGGAGCTTTCTTTTTTCAAGAATTTAATCCTTTTGTATGCTTATGCGAGACGGAGACCGCGTGATTTACGTAAACATTTGGTGGTATGTTGTACTGGCTTGTTGCTTGTTCCAATCAAGGTGAGAGTTTATGGTGTTATCTTTCATCCCCTTATGCAGATCGATTCTCATGCTGACGGAGTGAATGCCATTGTTTTGCTCATCCAAATAAACAACTTTGTGTTGTAGGTTGTAACCTGTAGTGATTAGTTGATAAAAGTAAGTCCATAGATCTTGAAGTTCTTTCATGAATAAGAGAGAGATCTATTACAGATGTGGGATTTAACTGGAAGAAAGCTACTCCACTGTGGCCATGATGCAACCTGTTTATTCTATATGCCCTCACCAGGAAGAGAATATTCAGGCATGACATCAGATTGCATAAGCATGTAAAGCTTTTCAGAAAAGAAAATTGATGTAAAATCAACTGACGTTTTTAGTTAATTATGCGAATAAGTTCTCTACTGCAGTCTTTACTCATTGCCTCTATGACCTATATGGCTATATGTATATATTTACTCCAGTAGCTCTATATATTTGTGACTCATCTTTGCTGTTAACGTGCATTTTGTGTATAGTACGCTATGCAGTACAAAGATGTTTCCCATGCCGCCAGGGGCGGAGCTATGTTGAAACATACCTGGGCTATAGCCCGGGTGACCATTTGAAAAATACAGTGAAATTATATAGTAGCCCACCTCTTGTTTCATAGGCCTATGCCGAAACAACTAAAAAATTAAAGTTAAATATTTAAATTACCATCTAATTAATTTTTGGAATAAGTTATTGGATGCCTATAAGAATTAAGAGTTAAATGTTTGAATACTTCATTTCTCTTTTGGAAAAACTTTGTAAGAAATCTTTTTCTTCGAAACTACATTGTGAAAAAAAAAATTCACTTTTTATTAATTTATGTAAATATATTCTTGTGTTAATATTCTATACATATCTTATCAGTTAAAATTGATATTATTTTGATGATCTACAAATAAACATTCATATTGAATTTAAAAAATATTTTTAATTTTTTATTGCTATTTATTTCCTATAATTACCAAATACAAGAATTATTTTAACATAAAAAAAAGTTATCTTAGGACTAATTTAATAAATATTATTTCAGAATCTACCTATTAAGATTATTATTTATCTATTGAAATTTACATTTTTATAATTTACTTATTAATCTGTCCTTTTGACATTTAGTACTTGGTTATTTTTTTGTGTTTATTTTATTTAATGGTAAATCTAGAATTAAAGGCTTGATATGCTGAAATTCTCAGTCGTGTTAGTAAGAAAACAAATTCCACATAACATTTTATCTAAATAATTTTAGCACGAGGAAATTTTAAATCCTGGCTCCGCCCCTGCATGCCGCGGGTGCAAAGATGTCGTTAATTGACTTGTGTTTTGGTCAATCGCCACTACAACTTCTCTCTGTCAACGATTATGCACTTTGCTATCAACTTTTTTGCCCGTTACCTACAACTTGCTTGTGATCGGATGACATTATATGAAGTTATTTATGCTCGTTTGTTTTACGTCTTGTAACAATACATTATTCTGTCCTTATGTTTGTTGCTTGCAGTTTATTTTCTCTACTTTTGTTGTTTGGAATATCAAACTTTGGTTGTATGATAATATGGGATCTCGGGTCGACTATGATGCTCTTGGGCATTGGTGTACCACTATGCGATGTAGGGGTGGTATCGGTTCGGTTACCGAGCCGATAAGGCCAAACCGATACCGAACCGATTATTTCGGTAACTACAAATATGAAACCGTTACCGAACCGTTTGTAATCGGTAATCGAAAATTCGGTTACCGTTAACTCGGTTCGGTAACGGTTTCCTACCGAAAAAACTGAAATTTACCAATAGTAAATGAGAGGGCCGATTTTTTTTATTTTTTTTTGTTTTTTTTGTTAATGGGTGAGATGAGCATTCATGAAATTAATACTCATCAAATTTTGATTATTGTACTTATACAATGATGAATAAAAATATACAAATCATAAAATTAATCTACAGATGCGCGAAGTGGTCGAACATACTACGACTTTTGTTGAGGGAAATTTGTCCGCGAACACGGCATCCAACATCCAATATCCAGAATGAATGTCAGCAACTGTTGAATTTCCTGAATATTGATTATGACGGTTTTCAAGTCCTCAATATTGCTTAGTAATTATATCCAAAAGCTGCTTGCTTTGTTATGCATTCACAAGCTATATAACATAAATTATTACTTATTAGTTATTAGTATTAAGTTATTAATTATTAGTATTAAGTTATTAATATTTCTATTAAGTTATTAACTATTAACATTAAGTATTTTTTTTTTTTAAATTCCTTATCGGTTCGGTTCTGTAAAATTGAACCTCTATGGTTTCGGAACTGATACCGTACTGATAACATATCAGTAACCGATAATCGGTTACCGTTTTAAGTGAGTCGGTTCGATTCGATTTTTTTCTCGTCGGTTCGGTTTTCAGTTTTCAGTCCAAAAATGTCAGCCCTAATGCTATGTAGCACGGATGGAAGAAGATAACATATCAAGCTTTTTTGTTGCTAAGTTATGGTCTGCCTGTTTGTTTCAGATAGGAAGTGTCATGTTCGCCTGTCTTCTACGTTCTTTTGCCAAATAACATGATTTAGTGCTTGCTAACTTCTTTCCACTCATAAATTAAAGCATTTCTCCCTTCATAGATTATTTTCCTGCGGGACAAGAAAAGACTGGGATTCATTTTTGGTTGAATGGAATGAAAGTGAAGGTGCAATCAAGAGAACATACACTGGTTTCAGAAAGAAGTCGGCTGTGTTGTACAATTTGACACCACTCAGAACTGCTTCTTGGTTGTAGGTGAAGACAACCAAATAAAATTTTGGGACATGGATAACATCAATATACTCACAACTATAGATGCAGACGGAGGTCTTACTGTAAGTCCTGATATCTTATTTTGTGACCTGAACTTTAAAATAACCAAAATGGATAAGACTAATGTGCCTAGCATTCAAAGTCTAATGTATATGTTTTGGATAAGGATTTTTCTTTTAAATGTTGCATTTACTGTTGATGTAGTCTTCCACATTTGAGATTTAATAAGGAATGGAATCTGATTTCATATAATACTTCGTGGATGTACTTTGTCTCTAAAAGTTTTTCCTTGTCTCCGATGGATACTGTCTAGATCAATCAATCTATCTATCTATCTACCTATGTCTATATCTATTCTATCTATCTATATCTATACTAATCTATAAGGACGAGTGTTTTTGTAAAAATATGAACTACCTAAAAAACCTTTTCTTTGGCATATTCTTAATGGCAAATTTGTAATAAAGTAATACACATCATATTTTATATTTTTAAATATAAAAATGAATTACCTAAAAAACCCTTACTTTGACATGTTTTTAATGGCAAATTAGTAATACACTAATGTCCATCATATCTTTTATTTTTAATTATAACTAATATGTAATTAATTAAATACAAATACATGAACAAATCATTTCACACTCCTAAAATCAACTACAATATGTTGGTTTGGCACCATTATTTCTCACGAATTTGTTTTCTTTCACATATCTCTAAAACTGTTTGATAGGATATACAATTGTTGTTTTGAAAAACGTTATTATTTTTAATATAATTTTAATGGTAATATTGTAATCACATTTCATAACTCTAATATATAAAAGTTCAAAGAAATAAAAATTGATCCAACAAAAAAATCATAATAAACACTTATAAAACTAGAAATCGATATTATTTTTTTTCATAACAACCACAAAGTATAGAAACATTATTTTCAAAATGACCTATACAAAATGTGATAGTATGCGAGATTAATTGTTGAATGATTGTTCTGCAACCAAAACTTCTAATCAATTTAATTTCTTCGATACATAAGACCAGAACAATTTTATGAAACATGGGGTAACTCGGAATACTACTAAAAAAGGACGAATATTTTTGTAAAAGAAAGAACTAACTAATATACCCTTACTTTGGTATATTTTAAATGGCAAATTAGTAATAACATAATATATATCCCATCTTATATTTTTTTTATTAATAACTAATATTTACCTAAAAAGCCTTTTATTTGACATATTTTTAATGTCAAATTAGTAATACACTAATATTCATTTAATATTTTATTCATTTAATACAATTAAATGAACAAAATATTCCACATCTCTTAAAAATCATCCACAATATTCACACCATTATTCTTAAAAAATTTG